AGGTACAGTAGCAAGCACCTGTAGCCCCAGCTACTGAGTCTGAGACGAGAGGCTTGCCGGAGCCCAGGAATTGAAGGCTACAGTTTGCCGTGATTGTGAATAGTCACTGCACTCCAACCTGGGCCACATAACAAACCCTGTCTTTTATTTTTTTGGAAAGAGTCTCACTCTGTTGCTTGGGCTGGAGGACAGTGGCACTATCTGCTCACTGTAACCTCTGCTTCCTGGTTCAAGTGATTCTCCTGCCTCAGCCTCCCGAATAGCTGGGGTTATAGGTGCATGCTCCCACTCTTGGCTAAATTTTGTTTGTTTTTTGTACAGATGAGGTTTCACCATGTTGGCCAGGCTAGTCTCAAACTCCTAACCTCAAGTGATCCACCCACCTTGGCCTCCCAAAGTGCTGGAATGAAGCAAAGTGAGCCACCGCACCTGGCCTCAAGACCCTGTCTTTAAAACAAAAAAGACAAGGAGGTGGCTCAGCCTGATACTTATGAGGGTAAGACTAGGGTCCCACTGCCTGGATTCAAGGCCCAGCTCTACCACTATGTCACCTTTGATCAAGTTGTTTAACCTCTCTTTGTACTGGGATGGGTGTGGGGCTGGTAAGAATGCCTCCCTCATAGGCTACTGGGAGGATTTTCTGAAACGCAATGGTCAATACACTGTACAGCCTTAGTAAAGTCCTCAGTAAATGTTTGCTATTGCTGTCACTATAAACAGGCCCCCTTCTCCAGGGCTCCCTCCATAAAATGACTACCCTTTGAGCAGAAATCATGCCAACTGGAGTTTCAAAGACACTAGAATGACCCAAACTCCAACAGTGTAGGTTGTCCAGCTTCTTGGCAAATCCTGCTGCCCTCAGAGGATGAAAAGGGCCTGAGTTGTACAGAGTGCAGACAGACAGACAAACGGACACCAACATCTTTCTGGAGGCCCAGGAGCTGCATTTAATGTCCTCACTCTTTCCATGAAATAAAGCTGCTAAACACCCCAGGCATGTAAAGCAATGAAATGAATATCTCAGGTCGATCCCTGCCTGAGGCCAGGACCACATAGCGGAGCAAAGACCTTGAGCTGTTAAGCGCCATGACCTAGACACACTGGGCTGTATTTTTAGCCTCTTGTGCACTGTTTCCATCACCTGTGCTGGGCTTTCAGCTGGAAAAGAGCAGGTGGGGGTGGAGAAGCCTAGAGGGATGTTTCTCACTGCAGCCAGTGCCAGGAAGAGCTCGTACACGATTTCCAAGTCCTGTTTAGCAACAGGGCCAACTTCATGGGTGTGCAATCGGTATATCAACATAGGACCCCTTGCTTGGAAGGGTCCCACACATGCTTTATCTTTTTCTTTTCTTTGAGATGGAGATTCACTCTTGTTGTCCAGGCTGGAGTGCAATGGCACGATCAGCTCACTGCAACCTCCGCCTCCTGGGTTCAAACAATTTTCCTGCCTCAGCCTCCCAAGTAGCTGGGACTACAGGTGTGCGCCACCATGCCCAGCTAATTTTGTATTTTTAGTAGAGACGGGGTTTCTCAATGTTGGTCGGCTGGTCTCAAACTACCGACCTCAGGTGATCTGCCCATCTTGGCCTCCCAAAGTGCTGGAATTACAGGCATGAGCCACCACACACGGCCTATTCTTTTTTTTTTTTTTTTTTTTTTGAGACAGAGTCTTGCTCTGTCACTCAGGCTGGAGTGCAGTGGCATGATCACTGCTTACTGCAACATCCACCTCTAGGTTCAAACAATTCTTCTGTCTCAGCCTCCTGAGTAGCTGGAATTACAGGCGCCCACCACCTCACCTGGCTACTTTGTTGTATTTTAGTAGAAACGAGGTTTCACCATGTTGACTAGGCTGGTCTCAGACTCCTGACCTCCCTAAGTGTTGGGTTTACAGGAGTGAGCCACAGCGCCCGCCTGTCATGAAATTCTTAAGTTTGGACAAAGGACATACATTTTCGTTTCTCACTGTACCATGCCAATTATATAGCTGGGCCTAGGCAGTGCACATGACAGAGAGAGCCAATTGGACAAGGAGGCTGCAGCCAGCCCGGGAGGGGTGCCTTCCCGAAGCAGGCAGGACAGACCAAAGCTACCATCACAAATGTTTCCAGTCTCCTGGGTGCCCTTCCTACTTTCTCTTCTGAAACCCAAATGAGATGCAGAAGAACCTTGTAAACTGTAGAGAACTGTTTCCTGCTTTGCTAAAGTCTTTCTCAGGCATCCTGTTTAAAGTAGTCCAAAGGTTAGCCAAGTGTGGCGGCATGCCTCTGTAGTCCCAGCTACCCAGGAGTCTGAGGCTGGAGGATCGTTGGCGTCCAGGAGTTGGAGGCTGCAGTGAGCCATAATCTCACCACTGCACTCCAGCATGGGTGACAGAGGGAGACCTTGTCTCCAGAAAAAGAAAAAAAAAAAAAAAAATCCTTAGAGCTTTCGGTTAACATCACTTTCTTGTCTTTGTAGTACTTTTTGTTCTCTGGAATTTGCGTATTTTCAAGTTGACTAGAATGTACGTTCCAAGAGGAAGCTTTGGTCTTGATGGCTGTATCCTCAGCCATCAAGATTAGACTTGGCATGTTCCTCGTTGAATATTTGCTGAACGAAGGAAGGTACGCCTTTATTGAGTGTTTGCTTTGGGCTGAGGGCTTCACCTGCATCTTCTCATTTCATTCTCTTCAAAGGCACTGCTGTCTGGGAGGGCACAGAAGTCCCAGAATGAGAGTTCTCAGGCCTTGTGGAGAAGGTGGGAAGGCCCCAAAATGGTGGAACAGGGGAAAACTGTACAAAAGTGGAGATCACCGGCGGGACGTGGTGGTGAGGGTCCCCAGGACAGAGGCTGGCTGGGTGAGGGGATGGTGGGTGCCCCTAATCTCCAAGAAGCCCAGAGGATCCTTGAACTCGGGAATGACACATGAAAACAATGACTGAACAAGATTCTTCTTGCTGCGGCGCTGAGTCGTGTGGGTGGAGAGGGACGGAGACTGAGAGGCCTCGTGGGAGGTAGCTGCGCCCTTGGGGCCGGGCTCTGCGAGCAGCCACGGGTGGGGAAAGGAGTTTGGGGGACGCGGGCTCTGGGAGGGGGCGAGGGGGCGGCGCCCGGGGATTGAGGGGACCCAGGGACGAGTGTACCCAAGGCGGGCGGGGGAGCCCGCGGGGCCCGTCCCGCCCAGCAGCGCTCTGGGTGCGGCGAGTCTGCACACTGGGGCAGATTTTCCTGCCGCCGCGCCGGGCGCAGGTCTGCACTTGCAAGCCCGGGACCACGGACTTGAAAGCGCCCGGCGCACTGCCCGGACCTGCCCCGCCGGGCGTCACCGCCGCGCTTTAGGCGGGAGCCGTAGGAAAATCCCCTCTGCCTGGGGGGAGTGCAGGGGAGAAGCGCGGCCCACTACCTACCCGGGGTGCGGCTGGAGAAGACCTTGCCGGGGTAGGGGTTGGGGGTGGGGTGGGCAAAGGGCCTACCACGCGGGGGACGAAAGGTTAAGCAAGCCACGAGCTCTCTCATCCCTAACATCCCAGGCTGTAGAATAAGCAGCCCTGTCCGGTCCATTTCTGGACTGTGCGTTGGGCGTTGTACTTGCTTCTATCCCATCGAATCCTCTGAAGGCCTTTTATTATTCCTATTCTGCAAACCGCCGAGCCTCAGATCAGGAAAATCACCCTAGCTGGCACTGGCTGCGTGATGGGTTACGGAACCAGGGGTCAGTATGTGACTGCAAACTTGGGGTGGAGAAAGGAATTCAGCATTTGCTGAGCTCCTATGGTGCGTGCGTAAAAGTTGCCGAGCTTTCATGCTTTTTTCTTTTCTTTTTTTTTTTTTTTTAAAGAGGCCGGGCGCGGTGGCTCAAGCCTGTAATCCCAGCACTTTGGGAGGCCGAGGCGGGTGGATCACAAGGTCGAGAGATCGAGACCAACCTGGTCAACATGGTGAAACCCCGTCTCTACTAAAAATACAAAAAAAATTAGCTGGGCATGGTGGCACGTGCCTGTAATCCCAGCTACTCGGGAGGCTGAGGCAGGAGAATTGCCTGAACCCAGGAGGCGGAGGTTGCGGTGAGCCGAGATCGCGCCATTGCACTCCAGCCTGGGTGACAAGAGCGAAACTCCGTCTCAAAAAAAAAAAAAAAAAAAAAAAGACAGGGTCTTGCTCTCAGTGCAGTGGTGCAAACACATAGTGAGTCCGGGCTCACTGCAACCCGGACCTCCCAGGCTCAAGCGATCCTTCTGCCTCAGCCTCCTGAATAGCTGGGACCACTGATTGGTGTGTTTTTTGCTTTTTGTTTTTGTTTTTTTTCCTGTCGAGATGGGAGGGTGTCGCTGTGTTCCCCAGGCTGGTCTCGAACCCCTGGCTGAAGCGATTCTCCCATCTCAGCCTCCCAGAGGGCTGGGATCATAGGAGTTAGCCACTGCGCCGGGCTCCAGGCATTCTTATTTAGTGCAGCCGCTCTGGGGAGTAGTAGCTATTATCACCTTCATTTAACAGATGAGGAAATTGAGGTAAAAGCTATTTTTCCTTTAAACCTGCCCAAGGTCTTACAGGTGACCAAGTGGGATGTAAACTCTCCAAAGCATTCCTTTTTAATCATTACAATGAGCTAAGCAAGGGAAAACAGTTTGCAAACTGCTGTTCTAATTATTACCGCTGTAGCTGAGCCCACGTGCGGGTCACGACCCGAGTGAGGGTGGAGCAGGGGTCACTGGGAGCCCGGCCTATTTCAACCTCATCAAACAGCTTGGTGACTCGGAGGCCGGGCAGAGGCCCCGCCCCTCACCTGCTGATTCCTCCCCCCCCCATGTGACAAACAGGGCGCCCTGCGGGGCGGGCCCAGGTGTGAGGAAAGGTGGGCGGGGCCTGATGCGTGAGTGGCAGGAGCAGCGAGCGGCCGGGGCGGGGCGTGCGTGCGCAGTGGGTTCCGCCCCCTGGGCCTCTCCGCGGAGCCGGGCGGGCCCCAGGCTGCAGGGGCGGTGGCGGCGCTTAGCGGGGCGGGCCGGGGCGGGGCCGCCGGGCAGCCGGGGCGGGGCCACGCTGGAGCCCGTGTCCCGCTCCCATGGCCGCCCCCGGCTCCCCGTGCTGCCCCCTTTCCCCCGGGCCGCGCCCCGGGGCCCCGCACTGACGGCCCATGGCGCCGCCCGCCGCTCGCCTCACCCTGCTCTCCGCCGCGGCGCTCACGCTGGCGGCCCGGCCCGCGCCCAGCCCCGGCCTCGGCCCCGTACCCGGTGAGTGTGAGCGACCCCCCGCCGCCCGCCCTGCGCGGAGCCCACTTTAGGAGCGACCCGCGCCGGCCGGCCTGGGGGCCCCCTCTCCCGCCTCAGGACCTTCCGGGCCCCTTCCCCGAGCCCCTTGGCGACGCCCCTCAGGCCGGAACGGTCCTTCCCTGGGACCCGGGCTCCCCCCCAGGCCCCTCAGCGACACCCCCGGGCCCGGTGCCTTCCCCCGGCTGCAGGACCCGGTGCTCCTCAGCGACGACCCTCAGCCCAGGACGCCCTCTCCGCCTTGAGACCTCCAAGCCCCTCCACGGCACCCCCTGGGCTGGGACATCTCCTCTGTCTTGGGACTCGGGACGCGCTGCCCGAGTACCTCAGAGACACCAGCCAGGCCGGGACGCCCCCTCTCCTCGGTACCTCCTGGGACCCCGCCCCAGACCCCTCAGCGACTCCCCCCCAAACCCCTCAGCGACTTCCCCCGGGCCAGGACGCCCCCTGCTCCCCGGTACCTCCTGGGACCCCGCCCCAAACCCCAGCGACTTCCCCCCAAACCCCTCAGCGACTCCCCCCGGGCCAGGACGCCCCCTGCTCCCCGTACCTCCTGGGACCCCGCCCCAAACCCCAGCGACTCCCCCCGGGCCAGGACGCCCCCTGCTCCCCGTACCTCCTGGGATCCCATCCCCAAGTCCCCCATCGACGCACCTTGCACGGGGATGGCTCCCCGGCTACAAGAGGCTACACCCCCGTCTCCAAAACCCTCAGTGGCATCCCTACCCCGGGCCAGGGTCCCCTCCCCGAGCCTCACTACGACGCCCCCGCATCCCCCCGTTCTCTCCTCCCTCCTACACCGGTGGAACCCGGCGCCTCCCCGCGTAGAGCCGAGTGGAGGCGGGAGGAGCCGGCGCTCAGCCCCCTTTTCCTGAGTCCTCAGCTGCACCCGCTTGGGCAGACATTGTAACTTCTGCCTCGCGAGGAGCGGGATTGACTTGCTCGCCCTGCTTAGGGTCCTGGGACGACCCTGTACCCAGACGGGACGGGACGGGACGTGCCCTCTCTCCTCTGGGCCGCTTTGAACGTCCGTATGACTCAGGTGATGGCTCAGCAGGGGGAGAGGAAGAAAGAAAGGGGTGATTGAAAACTTCTCCCCTACTGAGCTTAGGGTGCTCTTCCTGAGGGTGCAACTCCGAGCTCCGTGTTTCGGGTTACTCCATGCCTTAAACAGGCCACTCACTGCCCAGGCCAAGCCCAAGGCCAGGTCTTCCTGAGGTGGGGCCCTGGACTAGGATGAAGCTTGGACTTAACTTCCACACACAGCCTTGTAGCCGAATCCTTTCTAAATTGAAGAGAAGGCAAGAGGGCGTTGCTTGGCGCAGTTACATTTCTCTGCAGGTTGTTTGGGTGTTGAGTATAGGACGTTTGTGAAAGGGATGGGAAGAGTTTATTACCCGTCTGCGGGAGTAGGAAAACCCGCCTGTGGGTTCTCCACCCAACGTCGCAGACTGATGTTGAAAAGATAGGATTTTGCTTCCGTAAGAAAACTCAGAGTTGCCTTGTTTACTCATTTGCTTGGATTATCGAAAAAGCTAGGACTTGGTATTGTCACGGAGTGACCTTGGGCCATGCCTTCAGCTCCCCGAGCCTCAGTTTCCTCGTCTGTGAAGAGTGGATGGTAACTTCTTCGCAGAGTGTTGTGAAGATTAAATGATACACTGTAGGTAACATACTCACATAGAGGAGGCAGTCAATAAACATATTTCAATAATACTTTTATAGGGCCTCACAGTTCATCAAGCGCTAGACACCTCATTTACCCTGGGAATGCTAAGAGCTTTCTGTCTGATTAATTTCTGTTAAAAGGCAAAGCTTAGCTTTAAATTGGTAGAACTGAGGTTTCCAAGTGTTGTAAACCTGAGGCTCAGTAAGTGGTTTCTGAGTGATCACTACCTTTTATGGGACTTCTACAGTACGGTCATTTCTACTGTTGTGAGGAGTGAGGGACATTCCGAAAGCCAGGATATGTCAACCTAACTGTAACCTAGTAACCCCTTAGCTCAACTTTGCTATCTGTGTGGTCAGGATTTAATGTCCCCTACAAAGAGAAATGTATGGGTGGAAATAGACTGCTTCCCCTCTGGAAAGGGCAGAGTCATAGCTCTGAAAAGCATCAAGTGAGCCAACTCTGCTCATGCTTGTTGGAAGGTCTTCTTTTCCCAAGTATCTTTGCTTTTTTAAGGTCAAATGCAGCTCTTAGGAAGTTTGCACCCCAAATCTTGGTGTGCTTTTATTTAAGAGTCTGGGGTAGGGGCAAATAACCATCGTGAAACGATTTGTGATAAATGGTCCAAGTTCCCAATTCCATGAGCCTTGCCAGCTTGGTGTCTTACCACCTGGTAAATCAGTGCTTTTTTTTTGACTTTTCCTGTTTAGTTGCAGAAGCAGTTTTAGGGAGATACCACATGGTCTTCAGCAACATATCCTGTCTAGATCCTACCCACTAGCATTTAAAATCTTTTCCAATAAAACACACACACACACACACACACACACACACACACACGCGTGCGTGCGCGCGCGCGCACACACACACACACACATATTTTACTCTGAGGATATGCCAGGCTTGCCATTTTATATTTTTTGATACTGTAATTTTCTCTAAAATTTTGTGGATGGAAAAAATTATTTCAATATTTATATTCTGTACAATTTTGTAATATTTAAATTACTGGTGGTTTGCATTTTTGAATGCTGACTTTATAAAAACAGTTAGCTCATTCCCCATCAATCCTACTTCTAATTACAATGTGTAGCCAACCCCAAATGATCTCCCTTCTCTTCATTCTTCCTTTAAGATTCTCTTCCGGCTGGGCATAGTGGCTCACGCCTGTAATCCAAGCACTTTGGAGGCCAAGGCGGGCAGATCACCTGAGGTCGGGAGTTCAAGACCAGCCTGACCAACATGGTGAAACCCTGTCTTGAAAAAAAAAAAAAAAAAGATTCTCTTCCTTCCTTCACAACTCATAAGAAGGAAGATAGAGGGTAATGGAATCTAGATTTTCCTTCAAGGAGGAGTACAGCTAGGGCCATAGGGTTCATGGGTTCTCTGTAGTGGGTCCCATCTGGAATTTATGGAATTTATGTTCTACTCACATTGGGTGTTTTACTGCCTTTAGGGTCTATCAGACGTGCATCGACAGAGCTTCTCTCAGGTTATGTTTACTGTGAATACCTTCTATAGGTTTATAGATTAATGCCCATTCTCCTTTAACTCCTCATCTGGAATTTGTCCCACTAGCCAGTAGTGTGTTTGCCATAAAACGTGTGAGTTCAGTTAACAGCTAGAGCATCATACTGTCTACCAATTCTTGGCCCTCTTGGGGACTTCATTAATGCTAAAATTACCTGTAAGCAACATGGGAGCTGAATCAGTGAAGGATTGAAGGGTGCATACCAGTTACTTGTATGCTCTGAGTATTTTAAGAAACACCATTTCGACCTGGTATCAGAGACCTCTGATATTTTTGTGAAAATATATTTTGGCCCCTAGACAAACTATTTAAATCTTTGAGGCCAGGCGTGGTGGCTCACACCTGTAATCCCAGTACTTTGGGAGGCAAAGGCGGGAAGATTACCTGAGGTCAGGAGTTGGAGACCAGTCTGGCCAATGCGGCAAAACCCCATCTGTACTAAAAATAGAAAAAAAGTAGCCAGCCACGGTGGCAGGCGCTTGTAATCTCAGCAACTTGGTAGGCAGGAGAATCACTTGAACCCCGGAGGCAGAGGTTGCAGTGAGCCAAGGTTGTGCCATTGCACTCCAGCCTGGGCAACAAGAGCAAAACTCTGTCAATAAATAAATAAATAAGATAGGCAAACGGCCGGGCACGGTGGCTCAAGCCTGTAATCCCAGCACTTTGGGAGGCCGAGGCGGGTGGATCACGAGGTCAAGAGATCGAGACCATCCTAGTCAACATGGTGAAACCCCGTCTCTACTAAAAATACAAAAAGTTAGCTGGGCATGGTGGCGCGTGCCTGTAATCCCAGCTACTCAGGAGGCTGAGGCAGGAGAATTGCCTGAACCCAGGAGGCGGAGGTTGCGGTGAGCCGAGATCGCGCCATTGCACTCCAGCCTGGGTAACAAGAGCGAAACTCCGTCTCAAAAAAAAAAAAAAAAAAGATAGGCAAAATGAGCCCTTTTATCAATCTTAAAGCAAGAGAGCATTCCATTTGGGCTCACTACTCATAAACAGAAAGTTGATGCACTCAATATAGATGTTATTGATACACTCATGGCTTAGCGTAGTTAGACCAAAAGCAATAAATGAGTAACATAAAATATATTACTTTAAATAGCTTCACAATATACAGATTAGGGATTTTTGGTGATGGGGAATATACCATCTTTAATTTAGAATTTTTGAGTCTGGAATGTCAACTGATGATCTAGGTCAGGTGTGGGCAAACATTTTTTTGTAAAGGGAAGACAGTAATATGAGATTTGTGGGCCTTATACTATCTCTGTTGCAATTATTCAACTCTTTAGGGCAAAAGCAGCATAGACAAAAGGTAAATGAATAGGCATGACTGTGTTTCAGTAAAACTTTACAAACACTAAAATTTGAATTTTCTATAATTTTTTTTTTTTTAATTTGTTTTGAGATGGAGTTTCTCTTTGTTGCCCAGACTGGAGTGCAGTGGCATGATTTTGGCTCACTGCAACCTCCACCTTCCAGGTTCAGGCAATTCTCCTGCCTCAGTCTCCTGACTAGATGGGATTACAGGCATGTATCGCCATGCCTGACTAGCATTTTATTCTTAGTAGAGATGGGGTTTCACCATGTTGCCCAGGCTGGGAATTTCCTATAATTTTATGTTAACAAAATATTGTTCACGCCTGGCACGGTGGCTCACGCCTATAATCCTAGCACTTTGGGAGGCCGAGGGGGGTGGATCATGAGGTCAAGAGATCGAGACCATCCTGGTCAACATGGTGAAACCCTGTCTCTACTAAAAAT